AAAGAGTTTTTTACAGTGAGGACTAGCAAAATATTTTACAAAATGCCTGGGTTTCATGCATCATGCTTTTAAAGGAAGCCTTAGACTCATCAGCCGCATAAAGACTGCTCTCATTCCTAAGGATACATGGTACTGCAAAAGGTAAGGGATGATAGCTTTGGCACAGGACAGTTTTCACTTGCCTTTTCTGTTCCATGTGCTTCTCCATTAGCTGGACAGTAGATTAGATGAGAATTTCAGGAATTTTGTGAAAACTGTTTGGGAACCAAAAGCTGCTTTGTCCAACTCAATTTGGCTTAGTCTGAAATCACTGCAGAGTAACTGTTACTGAATACTGCTGGACCTTCTATTGCCGCACTGTGCTATGAGCCCGCCCCCTCTTCTGCACAAGAAGCGATACTTATCCTTTACCTGACTCATAAAAATGAAAAGAATCTCCTTGCTATTTTGGCATGGGTGGTGGTGTTTAGCAGTAATGGAGGTGAAGAGGCTTCTGCCTGAGACAGTTGCTTTTCCCAGAGAAGAGGATTTCTTTACTTTGTGTAGGCTTGAGGGAAGTCCTCAAACATGTATGCTACCTCATGTTTACAAGAGTGATGCTTGCTACCATTGTTCCTTCCTTGCAGGATGCTTTTAAGGTTTCGGTTTGTAGAGTCCTTGCTGCCCACTGGGTGTGCCTTAGATTTACAGCTAAATTAATGCCAGTTGAAGGGATTGGAGGCTATGACACTGAATATTCACAAATCTCCTGTGAATAGTAATGTCTGCTTTCCTGAAAGGTAACTTCTTCATGGGCAGCTGTCTTGATCAGAGAAAGATTTCAGCAAGGCAGGTCTGCAGAGGATGACTTTTCATTTGGGTGATCGGATGGACTAGCAAAAGCCATCACTTCTGCTATAGCAAGAGATAGAATTAAGGGGTGTAAGGAATCAGGGTAGGGGTGGCATAACCCAGTAGTTAGGGCCAGGACTCTCTAGGCCAGGAGTTAAACCAAAAGTATCAAGTCAAAGTCGAGTTAAACACTGTGTTGGGAGGCAAAACTGGAACCATGGGATTAAGTCAGCAGACTTAAATTAGTCAGACCCAAGGCTGGCCTGAGGAGCTTCAGGCATAATGTTTTGAAGCATCAGGCAGGTAACAACTGCTCGAGCTGCCCTCCAGTCTACTGGAAAACCACCTTCATTTCCAGGAGAAAAGAAGTGACATGTGCCAGATGTATGCGAGACTCTGCATTAGTAAATTAACAGGGCTGTAACACTCCGGCTTGTGCTGCCTCCTTTAATTGCCTGACATGCATATAGAATGCCAAATGATGTTCTCTAAAGGAAACTGAATGCAGATTATGCTTTGCAGCTCTTTGCACTATTGGTTAGCTGGTACCTATCATGCTGAACATCAGGAACTCAGTCCACAAGAGGTGAAGGGGCTGCTACTTGTGTAGTTAAGGTGCATGCCAGCGAAAGTCTGCAAAGTTGTGACAGTAGAGTAAGCTGTTGACCTTTTTCTAGCATTGTGTCTTGGACTTGTCATTCTTCTTTCTGAGACCTCATTTACAATAGCTTTTGAATTGGAAATAACTGTAAAGGTGGACCATGTCTGCTTTTATCTTTTATGCCCTTACACAGGGACAAACAATCCTATTTAAAAAAAGAAAAGTCCACCACCACTGTGCCACACTGATGTAATGCAGGAATGGTTCAAACAACCATAGTTACTATTGAGTAATTCCCCCACGCAACACAACACGATGCACGTATGCACACATACACGCATGTGCGTACACTTGGAACTGAGCAGTTGAGGATAAAGCTAGACTTACGTAGCTGTGCTGTAAAGCACAATGCAGCCCACTGCATGAGAGATTTGACTGGGATCTCTTCCCTACAGTTCAAGTGTTAGTATCCATTGAGTGATGATTTGTTCCTGGCTGTCTTAGGAGCACAGAAACAAAATAAACCAGGAAATAGTCAATGTAACTGTTCATTAGTTATCCCCATGTGCCCCTTTACCCCACCAAGACTAAGGCAAAAAGGCCCTGGTTTTATTGCAATATTTGTTAGGTTCTGTTATCATATCCATTGCTAGAGGAGGAATGAAGGCAAATGCAAACTTCTGACAAGTTCTTTGAATATCTTATCTATTCCTGTACCTCCACCAACTAATCAGCTGTTGGCTGCCAAGCTACAGAAGAAAGATTTGCTCTATTAGGTAAAGCATTGGTTTGTTTTCAACCCCCATCTCAGTTCCACCCCCTCCGCCCGGCCCTGCTTTCCCCTTGTTTGTAATGAAAGTAACATGCTCACTGTGTGGTAAATCTCCTACCCTCAGTCCTTGTTCATTTTCTCTGATGGCTTGACCTCCTGGCTTTGTCATCCTACCCACTGGAGCAGAGATAGCCAACTTTCTTGTGATCCTCTTGGCTTCACATCATCTTCCCCAGTTGCACATACCATGGTGAGCCCCAGGTGAGAGCCCAGCTAAGAGCCTGTAGCTGAGAAGGCTGCTGCAGTTTACTGGGGTATGCATTAGTTCACACACTCCCACCCCCTGCCAGCCCTTTATTCTTTCTTGAACGGGGAAAATATAATAGAGGCAATATATTGTCCGCTGTTTTTTCTATTGCACATAAGCAGCCATAGTGTTCCTAGAGTGCCACGGTTTGTTTAGGCCTACCATCTGACTGCCTATGTCTCTTCTTTAAGGGTGGTTTTCACCAGGAGTTTTTTGAGACTAACATAATCTGGAATCAGTGATGGCTGGACGTGTATAGACCCTTGTGAGGGATTTTAAACAGGTCATTTACCGCTGTGACACACTTGGTTTACTTTTCTTTTGTTCATCTGTACAGTGACAAAAGAGCTAATGATTAAACTGAGTTTGTTGTGGAGGTATCGACTTGCACCTTGCCACTGGAACACCCTTCACTAGGACTGTTGATATCGGCCATAGATTATCTGCGAGGCTGTGGGTAAATCCAGCAGTGCAACAAGCACGGTGCACAGCCGAAGTTTTTTGGTGGCCAATAGCCTGCTATGCTTTCATACCATCTCCCCTCCTTCCCTGGAGAAACATGGTAAATTATGTTTTCAGGCCCAGGTTCCAGTGCAGATGGACTTTCTTTGGTTATAGCGATAGCGACAGCCAGCTTTCTAAATAATTGCCTTATCAAAGTTCAGTCACTAATGGAAGAAGGTTGGACAGAGCACTGGATTTGCTTTTCTCCATTTGCAAGGTCTTTATGGAGAAGAGCAGAAACATCCGGAAGAGACAGTATTTGCTGATTCAGGTTTGCTGAGAGCGGACTGGGTTCACCGGCACGTTCCAGCTGCTTTGCAGTGCTCTGCCAATGCAAACCAGCTGCAGGTCTGGCTTAACTGAAGCCAGGTTTGTGGCTGCTTTGCATCACTGGAGCCATGTAAAGTACCTGAAGCATGCCAGCTAATCTGGCCTATTGGTGAACCATTGTAAAGGACTTGTTTTTCTTCATGTTCTTTACATGTAACTTTATAGTAAAAGCCTGTAGAAATTGAGTAGATTGTATCACTAAAAGACAGATTTTGTGTTCTAAACTAAAGTCTATAAAATTAGAGGTTTTATAAGCTAGAGTTTTCCTTCTTAACTGAAATAAAATTATCAAATTACACATTGCTCCTCTGCACTTGTCTGTTATGGATTTCTTTTAAGTTGCACTAAGATTACAGTTGCCTGTTCTTGTTATAAGATGAAATAATGATTAGACTGAGATCTAAAAGAGCAGGCTTTCTAAGTTTTATTTTGCAAAAATGTGGGCTCAGCTTTTATTCTAAATGCAGTAATTTTCTTCTAGTTTACTGAAAGTGTATGTAATATTTGTGTCATTATCAATATTGTCTGCAATTTACTGATTGAAAATATTTTGGAGATTTTGAGAGAGGAAGGAAATCAGCCAACCATGATTTTTCTTCTGTTTATAGAAAAATATATAATTGAAATCATATACCTACCTTAATTAGCATGATGAGTGTTCGAAACATGCCACAAATGTTAATTGGTAATTACATTACTCCTTGTATAGTAATAATTTTTTTTTTTCATAATCCAGCTCTTCTTCTGAGGCTCTAACAGTGTTGAATATGTGATACATGTGTTTAAACAGACAGTATTATACAATGGAAGAATAACAGAAGTGTCATTACAGCTACCATGTATCTACATTTTTTTTCAGAACACAGGATTTTTGTTCTTCATGTAGAAATATTCTTGTATAAAAATCATGGTTTTTTTTAAATTTCTTTCTGGATAACCATATTGGCATTCAAGTCAGAAATTGTATTCCTCTGATCAGCTGTATATTGGAAGAAAACATGACAGAATTTGCAAAGTTTTCCTGGACTTTGAGGCAAAGCAATGAAGAATTAATTACTGCCTCATATTAATTAAGATAACAATGCAAAACCCTTCATTAGAAGCATAGGAAAAGTTCTTCCTTGGTCCTTGGAGAGAATATTATATGCAAGCCCTGTTGTGTGGGTTGCAAAGTGTCACTGGAATTTATATGCATTACTTGTCTAATTGCAGTAAATGTAGCATGTCCAGATAGGTTTAAAAGTTGGATGGCTGTTTGTTACTTGCTGGAAATCACTTGAAACCTTGCTACTCAGAGGCAGCTGTTCACAGGTCCTTCACCTCTCCCCAGAGATAGCTGGAAGACTCTGTTGTTGGACCCTGTCTTTTATGGCAGAAGCAGTAAACATGACAGGTTGTTTGGGAGCCATCTGTTTTAAAATGGTTGCTGCTTTGTATGCAGTAATGAACTTGAGATCAGTTTTCTGTCTGTCTTCATAGTAACAGCCTTGTTTGGTGTCACAACAGGTGGAAGTTGATGGGATGAAACTAAACGTGACCAGCGAGTGGAACCTGGCTTCACCCTTATTGTCTGTCACCATTGATGGCACTCAGAGGACTATACAGGTAAACTCACCCATGCTTTGTTTGTAGAGCTGAGATAACCAGAAGCCTTTGGGTATACAAATAATACTGATACGTGGGGTCTAAACTTGCTGCATTGTAAAAATTACGTTACGTTGTGCAAATAGCATAATCTTTCTATTTTGTGGTACATCCAGAGCTTCAGTGGAGTCAACTTGTCTCAGACTTACTCATCTAGAGTTTTGAACATCATTCATTTAAAGAGAAGTTGTTGCTTATTTTAGCCAGAAATTTACCCCAGTTTCTAGGATCTCTTTCCTTGATGTCTGTGAGGACAGAGATGCAGTTTCTTAATCCCTTACGAAATCGCTTAAGAACAGATTACTATTTATAAAAAGGTGGGGGTCCTGCAGTAAAATTGTTGTCTTCCTCACACTTGGATTGTGTGGGTTTTCCACTTTTGCGCCTTTGCAGACTGAAAGTCGCAGAACAGTGCATCTCCCATTTGACACGTTTTTATATATGCTTTTATGAAATATGGTAAGTTCCATGACTTGAAAAGAAAAATGGAGAAAACATCCCAAACCTATGTGTTTCTAAGAAAAGAGGTCTAAAAAGATTAATGCACATTGTTCCTTGTGACCAATAATGTGTTTGAAAACAACTCCAAACAAAAAGGTGTGCTTTTAACTGCCATGCAAATTTTCTGAAGGCAATGCCAGCGAGGATTTATATATTTGTTGAAAAATCATTCCTTTATAAATATCTATTGATCCTGGAAATAGTGAAAGGAAACAAAAAATTAAATACTTTTCGAGTTTTTAAAAGTATTTTTGTTCATACATTATCTGTTTATTTTGCATACATTTGTCAGTGGTACAGTGGTCGGATTTCTGATAATTTACAGTGAAACATGTGAATTTATTTTTTCATTTTCACCCCGGTAAATTACCCAAATGGAGATGTTACTTTTGCTGTGATTGAATTTAAAAGACTGCAACTTGAAGATAAAAAATATTACATCTTTCAAGGATAGTATTGACTGAGAGTGAAATTTTCATAACGTGCCCAAGTAAATTATGGACTTAAGTTTTGTAGATTTATTGGAAGGCTAATGCCAGCTTCAGGGCTTGTGTATATCTAAAATAATTTTGTATTCTAAAGAGTATTTTTATATTTTAATACTGGTCCATTCCGCTGCTATTTTATAAAGGAAGTTCCTAATTTTGAGTAGGAAACAATACCGATGTAGGAACATATAAAATCTGTCCAGGAGAAAAGCATTATATTTAGAACAGATAACCATATTCAGAAGGCCTCATTGCAAAATGTATAATAACTACATGGCTGGATACAGGTCTCCATATACTAATACTAATAGTAGTAAGACCAGTTAACTAAAAGTGTAATATTTGAACTGGCAGATATAATTAGTTTCAAAATTAATGATCGTGAGATCTGAACATGCTTTCTTCTAGGAGCTGAGCCAGCAATAGTGTTACTTGCACTCCCCAAGTATGACCAAATTGTATGAAATACTGCAGGGCTAGCCACAGCAACAAGCAATGAGCTGGCTGCGTGGTATCTATTCAACAGAATGTGGAATAAGCACATATGTTGTTTCTTTCTCAGATGTTATCTATAAGTCTTTGCTTTTAGCAAAGAAACCCAGTAGCTTGAAAAGTTATTAATCTTTTAGTGTATGTATGTAAATTTATGGGAACCTTAAACTTGACCTCTGATATCCCCTCACTGGAATCTAAATTGGTTTTTTGGTTATATATTTCTCTAGACTTGCCCCGCTGCAAGAACCAAATTAGACAAGTGTATTCCTGTAGGTCAATTTGTCTCCAAAAGCAATTGACCCCTGAGTCTTGAAGTATCTTCTTTCAGCAAGACTTAGCCCTAGAGCCATTTAAGCAACAAATATGGATGAATCGAATAATTCCAGCTGTGCTTTATTAATTTTCAGCCAATCTAATTTCTCTTCATAGTTGGTTTCATTCTCCTAAATTTGCTCAACCAAATACAGTCTTTGTGAACGTTGTATTTCTTTGAAGGTTTGATTTATGCACCTTCGGCTCGATCCTGCAGTCTGGCCCCAATCCAGCAAAGCACTTAAGCGTAGAAGCAGGAAATAAATAATTTTAAAATGTTTTGGTTTAAAATGTATTTATGTAAATTATAGTCTAGACATTCAAATTGTTGCATATCTGTTGCACATTTAAAAATAAGTAATTAAGCATGCTCCTGTGTTTCCACTCCTCTGCTAAAGGCTCAGTGTGTATTAGAGCAAAGCAGAGCACCAACTCTGCCACAGAGTTAAGATGACCTACGAGTTTAAAAACCAGGTTTTCTAAGACTATTTCTAGAGTACGGGACCTGGGAACACATCTGAGCGTGCCTGAGAAGAGGTATATGCCCTGGTCAGTCTGTCTAGGGCATATCAGGGCACAACTAGGTTGTGTGGCAGCCCGCTCCCTCCCGCTTTTGTTTCCTTTGCGAGGAAGCCCATCTGTGTGCAGCAGATGGGCGCTGCGGAGCGCCTGGCCAGGTCCCCAGATGATAGAGGGACCAAAACCCCAGGGTATGCTGCAGGTCCGTTTGGCTGCAGCGTACGAGCTCTGAAATCTTTGTGCTGCTTTGGAGTACTGTGAAATCCCTAGGATGTTATAGAAGGTGATGAGCTGGTGGAAACTTGGGATCGTTTAAGCAGGAGATTTCTATGACACAGTCTCCGGGGATGAGGGTGTGGGCAGACCCCGTGGCATTTCTTGAAGTATGCCGATTCTGTCACGTTGTTGTTATCATCACAGAATCATAGAATCGTTTAGTTTGGAAAAGACTTTTAAGATCATCCAGTCCAACCATTATTGCTTTCAGTAGTCCCTCAGCTAATTCTGGTTTCTCAACATTTTCTCCTCTTACTCTACCTCCCAGTTGGAGAGGCTGAATTTAACACATTGTGAAGTGTGATTTTTGTTTACGAAGCAAATGAAATTTTTGTGTGCAGAAATATTCTGCCGAAATGGTTTCCCCTACCTGTTTCCAAAGATAGTAGTGGCTCAGAATCTGATTTACACCTAGCTATTGTGTTTTTTGGAATCTGCCTTTGCTGAAAATCAGAGAAGTAACTATAGGCATGTGGTTACAATATGTCTTCCTGAGGATTCAGATTTTAAGGGATTGGCTGTTATTTACTTGAAAATACATATTTAAAATACATTTATATAAAAAACATAATTTGAATATAGTATAGCCTTTCAGGCAATATTTAGAGTAAAAATAAACAAATAATGATCCCTGTGAAGAGCAAGTGGAAAAGAGGAGGTTGTCTGGGTTGTGGAAAAGAATTGTAAGAATGCCAGTGGAAACTGGAAGGGAGAATGGTGGTTCAGAGTGGTATCCTGGAAAGTAATGACAGTTGGAAGAAAGGCGGCAGGCATATTTTGGGACAATGAGGGCATTTTTATCCCTCTACTTCTGCTCCCATGTATAAGTAAACTGGATTTCAGTGAGCCCTTTGCCTGCAGAAGTTGTCACCCATGATATCTTCTCTCTCCCCGTGTGTATGAACTGGGGAGGGGGTGGAAGGAGAGAAGGGAATAAGCTGCCTTTTCCACACAGCTGAACATCTCCTTTTATTCCCTCATGTGAACCAGATTCTAAGGGGACCTTAAGATAAATCAATGAATCCATGAAGTCCAGCAGATGGACTTGAACCTAACTGCAAGTCTGTCCTTACTACAGTCAGGTTGCCAAGTAGGTGCCTTCTACTGGGACACGGTGCAGGAAGATGAGGTATCTGCAGAGAGGGCAGGTTGCCCAAGAAAAAAAATGCACGTAGGAGATCCTCAAACCCTCTTTGCTTTGGCACTGCTTGTGTTTGGCAAGTTCTCAAAAACCACACCACCGACCATTCAAATTCTGAGGCTGCTCTATGGCAACACCACATGGACAAATTTTACAACTCCTTAGTGCTGTTAAATGCTCTGCTTTCATTGATGCCATCATCAAACACTCAACCCATTCTTATATACCATTTACTTTCAGACAGTTCCCTATAGCAGGAGGATTCTGAGCCAGAATAAATTGTCACCGTCTTTTGCCAACACTTGTACCTCTTTGTCATACCGTATGCACGCAGCCTTTCCACTGGCATATTGTCGGCCCACACTGGTTTCACAGCTCTGCTAGCTTGCTGTAATGAAACCTTCCACCCTCTAAAGGTAGTGCAGGCATTCTGCCTGGAGCCTGGAAAACTCTTGGTGGCTTTTGGCAGCCTTAGCAAAGTGATTTTACAGTGGCACTAGTGATGCCTCCTCTTTATATTTCCTGGCTTTCAGAGGACTGGTCTCTGCTGAACTGAAGCTTTGTAGGATGTAGACAGAACTCAGTTGGGCAAGGTCCTGAGTAGCACAATGTTACTTTGACATTAGCCTCGCTTTGAACAAGGGAATACGACTACCTGATTTCCAGAGGTCCCTTCCAGCCTAACTGTTCTGTGACTCTGTTGGACATCCCAAACTCTACACTAAAAAGGTCTTTATCAGTCACAGCAAGGTGTAATTAAGAGAGGAATGGAGTTATTAAACAAGAACATGGTCCTGTAAAGCTGAAGTCATCAGTCTCCAGCTTCAATTGTTTTTGTGAATGAAATAGATGAAGATTTGTCAGTGGAATTTTCTCTACTTAGTGTTATGGGGAATTCAGTGATGGCATCACTTATTATTTTTTCATTTAATTTATTTATTGCATCAACAATTGCAGCAGGAGGAGTATATTCAACATCCTGGGATATGACAAATTTAAGTGCTTCTCTGATACAATGTTTCTTTTGATTATTATTTTGGTTTATAAGAACAAAAAAAATGAAAATGCTGTAGGTTATGAAGCCTTTGTTCCTGGGAAATGTCTAACATTCTGGGAAATGTCTGACAGGAGAACAAAGCCTATGCCCAAGTATTCATTTCCTTCAACCCCGTGGAGACTTTTTTCAAACATGTGTAATTTTTTTTAGAAAAATTACCTATATATATATT